CCATGTCGGCTTCGTCAGGTGCTGCAGCTCACACACAGAGCTGGATGGAGTCACAACATTTTCTTATGACACATATAATTACAGTGATTCATCCTGCTGTTCTCAGGTTCTGAACTGCAAACTTCTGTTTTCAAATATAACCATCAGATTCATAAATTAGAGGGTGAAAAAGCTGCACAGGCTAAATGTTGGTTCATTAAATCATCTGATGCTGTTATCATGTCAGCTGAGGGAACAACCATAATAAAACATAACACCAACTTATCTGCATTGAATTACTCTGTTTTCATTCATTCACTTTGTGCAACAACTCAGACCTGAAACTTTCATGGAGGAAAATTACATCTTCTAATCACCAGAGAAGATTAATTTCTGTTTGGATTAGGAATAAATCTGTGGAGCTTCTATTCAGATTACACTGCAAAAACACAAAACCCTTCCAAGTAGTTTGGTTTAGTTTCTACCTTAGTTCACATAAAATAAAAATAAGTAACTTTTCTGCAACACATATAAGTAAATAATTACTGAATATTGATTTAGCAGATTTTCCACTTATAAGATATTAGTTCAATTTTATATGTGAAATAATCTACCAGTGGAACTGGTATGTTTTAAATCAATATTAAGGAATTATTGACTTAAAACAAGCTTCTTTATGTTGATGAAAAATTAATGTAAGTTAGTTTCGTGGTACTTCAAGTAAACTAAGATATTTACAGTAGGAACAAGATTTAAAATACTTGGTAGGATTTTGTTTTACAGTGTAGATAAAATTATTAGGAGTGTCTCAATGCAACTTTTTCACTTCCGATACGATATCAGTATCAGTATCATAGTTTTATTACATATTTTGTAAAGGAGTGTAAGAAAAACTTAATCAGTGATTACAATCATCTGATCCTTTTATTATAAACAGAGTCTGTGTGGGATAGAAATCCTGGGCCGGACTAGATGCTGGAGCGGACTGATTCCATCAGAGATTTAAGATGCAGGTCGATATCCGATATTTAATATCACTATCGGATCGATACTCTACAGTTTATTATAACTTCCAGATATCCCAGTTGTGGCGCCCCCTAAAGGTCGCACATTTGACACCTTTATGTAGAAAATGAGCTGAAATCTCGTAGCTTTGGTTTAAATCGGTTTGTGTTTCAGTTCAACGTTCGTTCAAGGAAAATGGAAAGTATCTGAATCTGGAAACGCAATGAATTTGTCAGGATCTGTGTTCTGGATGCAGAGTCTGCTTTAAGCAGCTGCAGCTGCTGCAGCAGGTCCTCTGCAGCGCTGCAGCTGCTGCAGCAGGTCCTCTGCAGCCGCTGTGGGAGGCCTTTTGTTTCTGCAGATCTTGTTTGTTAATCAGGGCTCTCACTGCAGAGGAACAAATGTCAGCCGGAGAGATGAGGCATTTTTCTAACAGCTCAAAGTAAAAACACGCCTCCCATGAAGTCATAATGCTCTGAATTAAAACCTGAGACGTAAACGTGGCGTCCTGATGTGTTGGGAAGGAAATGATCCGGCCTTTCTTTAGCTTATGCACTAAATTTAACTGAAAAGGTTGAAAAGCTTTATCACACGATGGAAGAATGAACTTGAGGAGACAGAGAGGATTCACGGTTTAAAGTGAAAAACAGCTGCAAAGAAAAACAGAATCGATTTTGTCCAACTTCACTTCCCAGAAACATTTTCAGTAACTCATGTCATCGTCCACTTCCTGAAAAACATCCAGTAATTAGTTTCAGACGCTGCAGAACGCTGACCTGATTTTATCACTAATATTTAACACTATTAGGTGTTTTAATCTGTGAAGGTCGTCCTGACTGGAGCAATAATCGATTCTGGGTCAATAAGTTCATTTTGTTTTGCTTTATTCATTCAGAACAGAGTTTGTTCTCTTTGACCTGAATCAGTTTTTGAGTTTAATGTAGAACTTTTAGGCAAAATTATGAAATAAATATACCAAATGATTTTCAGGATGTCTCTTTAAAGTGGCAGTGTGTAACTTTTATAAAAACTCTGTTTTAAATGTTTTTGAATCTGTCTCCATGTCGGGACAGTTTGAGACAGAATCTATGAAAACATCAAACTTCCATGTTTTCTCCCAGTGCTACCTAGAAACAGCCAATCAGAGCCAGGAGGCGGGCCTTAGCGCTGTCAATCACTCTCCCTTTGCTCTCTGCTATGCTGCAGCTAGCATAGCTTGCTGTAAATTGTAAAGCTAGTTAGCATAGCCACTGATGATGGCAGATAAACTGTTTTCCTTTAACGGTAAGCTGTTTCTCCTCCATTAGCACATTTAGCAGTGAGTACATGAGCTTGATTGACAGCACTAAGCCCCGCCTCCTGGCTCTGATTGGTTGTTTTTGGTTAATTTCTTCAGACAGCAATATTAGCTCATGGAGGAGATCCATCTGCTCACAGATTATCTGTCTTATAACAAACTATCACAACATGATGTGACAGTTTGGTGCTTTTATTTTGAAAAGGCACTAAAGTTTACTTTCAGCTGAGAGATGATTCTGGACAAACATGGCAGATGCAGCGTCAGCTCCATTTGATTTAAAGGAAACCGTCAGTCCAAGTGTGATGACTATGCTACATGCTAAATAGCTAGCAAAGCTAACAGTCACAACTTCAGTGGATCTCCAGCTGTTCACGTTAAAACCTGCAGATTTTAAATGCAGCATATCTAAAATATTCAGAAGACAATGCATCATGGGAAACTGGAATATTTATGACATTGGGTAGCCAATCAGCGCTCATGTTGCTTTGTGCTGATTGGCTGTAGTTCCAGGGCGGAGAGCAGCTTCTAGAGCTCAGGGCTTAAACTGCAGAAATGGTACTGTTAGGATTAATACCCAACAGTAAATATAGGTATTATATTTATCTATATAGATCAATCACACACAGATAGTTTGATCTATGTGTGTTTTCAGAAGGAAAGGTTTGAAGTCGATTGTTTCTGACTGGAGTTAAACCAAAGGCTGAACTGGTTGATGTTTGACCCAGTACTGGGTTAGCTAACTTCCAGATTGACTTGTTTTAACCGTGCCGTTTTTAGAGTGTCACCCAGGTAACACAGTGACCAATCCTGTTCCTCCAGATTCCCTGCAGGCTTTAGATATTATATTAACCTCACCTGATCCAAAGCAATTAATTACTGAATCACTTTCAATATTATCGGTTTCCCAGAAGAGTTTCAACTGGAATATGTAACCAGACGGGCCTGATTATTACCAAGTATGTTTGATATTAGTTTTATTTATTTATTTCTTTATTGGTTAGTTCAGCTTAGAATTGCGCTGACATTTTTATCCATAAATGCGCAGTTTTTGCACCATTACAATTCTATTTTCTTCCATTCTATGCTTCGGGGTGTGTGGGGATTTCCAAACCAGAGAAAAACTGTTCAAATATTTACCAGGTATAAAGCAGCGCTGAACTTTGCCCTGCATGTGCGCGTGCGCGTCCACGGCCTCGTTTACAGCCGCAATCAGGAAAACTATTGGAGACGTTTTACGACAGTTTGCACGTTTTGTTTTTGTTGCGAATCACCGCGGCGCGGCGCAGCGCGGCGCGCGCGGCGCGTCCTGCTGCCAGAGGATTTCTAATCAAAGCCAAGAGCTGCAATTACAGGCTATGCGCGTGCGCGCCTTAAATAAACGCCGCGCGTGCACACGAACGCGCCCGGGAGAAGAATTTCTGATGATGCGCGCCGCCGATGGTCTGACTTGTGAACAGCTAAAGATTCATATTTACAAAACTTTATTAAATACCAGATAAACAGAAACGGTCCAGTTTAGACTTTCTTGCTAAATTATGACAAATAAATAAATAAAATATGAAAATTTGAAACGAGGAAAACGAAGCTCCTTTGATCCGTTCAAACACTGAAGAGCAGAGAAACAAACAACGAGTGAAAAGAAACGAACTGGAAGATCAGAAGGAAACAACTTCCGCTGTTTATGAATAAAAAGGTTAAGATTTCACGATATAAATTAAATTAATGTTTGAGGTCAAAACTAATAGGAAAAAGATTATAATCTGATCAACAAACCCACCGTGATCTGAGCAACAAGGAAAATAAAAGTTAATTCTTAGGATTAGAAATATTACTCCCAATGTTTGATTAAAAGTTTTAATAATAAAGCAAAATATATTTTATAAACAGCCACACTCTAATTTATAATAGTGACATTTTAAATCATTTGTGTTTAATAATTAATTCTGATCATATTTCAGTGTTTTATTAAAGGCTGCCTCTAATCCCAGTCCTTCAGATTACCTATCAGGTTAAACACTAATATCAGTCTAATGGCAGTAATATAGATAATACAGATATGAGGATTTCTGCAGGTGTCAGAAAAGCAGATATGATGTTGACTGAATAAACTGAGCGCTTCTGGCCGGAAGGAGAACATGTGACAGATTATAATCATATTTACTGATTTATTAAAACACTGTTTGCACCAAACTTCAGGGATTTCTGTGATTTGGTTGATCATAACCGCCTCAGTTTTTAACTTTAAAATTCATCCTTCAGCCTCGATGAGGAGAAAGTTTGAAAATAAATCTGAGTTAATCGATTATGAATGTAATTATTTTAAATTGTAAAACGTTCTGTTGAAGTTAAATATTTAAATGAACCTTTTTAGTTTTCTGTGGATTTATTCAGACACACATGTTACATTAAACATGAGAACTTTGGATCATTTTATAAACAGTTCAGGCTAAACAGTCTTACATTAAATCACGTCAAGTTTAACATTGTTGTTTTTTTTTTTCGTTCATTTGAGCAAATAAAATGAGAAGCAGTCGGTGGCAAAAAGCACAAAGAAGCTTTTATAAAATATGTACAATAAAGTCAAGATTTCTTCTTTTTTCACCTTTATGGTTTCAGTATCCTTAACGTTAATTATTTGTTTTTTAGTTATTCATAATCCCTCCCGCCGCCACTCTTTGGGGTTCCGGTCATTTCGCCCTCCGCCATTTTCTGCCTTTTTTTTTTTAACTGAAAATCTCGGTACAAAAACGAACAAAGAGCAAAACTTGTGGTTCCATTTCGTACCTGTCATTTCAAAATGAATTATGGGTATTTTGCTCCTTCATAACTTCCTACGAAATTGAACCGCAAGGGATGCCGGTCATTTCGCGGTTTCGTAGTTACTTATTATTATTATTATTATTATTATTATTATTATTATTATTATTATTATTTATCAGTTTCGATGTTTTTGGGCGCCATTGTTTTTTTGTTTTTTTAGGTACGAAATAGAACCACCTGCAGATCAGTTTCTGCTCATCAGAAACGAAACGGATGAAAAAAATGTCCAGAAAAATATCAGCTGATCAAATGAAATAATTTGAGTATTTTTATGATTCTTTGTTTTTGAATAGTTTAAGTGCGTCGCTACGAAATGGAAGTAAGGAGGAGCGAAATGGAGCCACCAAGCAGCCCAACCAGTACCGGAACCAGAATCCCAGTTTGTTTTTGTATTTACAGTTAAATATGTACAGTGCAGCAATGTAACACGTCTTCATTGATTAGAAAAGCTCCAGGAACCCGGATGTTTCATAGGTAAACTTGTAACCCGCATAATCCATTTTTTCTCTTATGGAAAAAATGACCGCAGGGATCCAGGTCGGTTCGGTTGTTGGTTCGGGGTGAGATGCGGATCCTGCGGGTCGGTTCGGGGCCCCGCGGCCCGTCAGCTGTTGTACTGGCAGGCGTTGAGGCTGGAGCCGGGGCTCTGCAGGCCGCTGTATCCGAACGTGGGGTGCTGTTTGGACTTGAGTCTTAGGGTGGCCAGGCTGGAGTTACACGTGTCCCGGTAAACGCTGTACGGCGAGCCGGGAGGGCCATACGGACACGCAGAGGACGACATGGCCGAGTTGATGCCGGAGGTTCCGATGCCGTTCAGGTTGCTGATGTTGTTGAGGCCCGGGGCCGGCATGCCGGGCACGGCGGAGTGGCCCATGCCGGACGCCATACTCATGGAGGAGATGGAGTTCGGGGCGGAGAACATGGACTGCGAGGTGAGCGGACTCATGGAGTTGAAGAAGGTGAAGTTCTTGGTGGAGAGCGGCGCCGGGGCCAGGCCCTTGTTGGTCCAGTTGTTGTAGGTGTAGGTCGGGTACATGTCTTCGTAGGGCTGCATGAGGCCGCTGAACTGCGGCAGGTAGCTGTTCTTACACAGGTCCATCTGCTGGTTCCGCTCCCGCTTCCTCCACTTGGCCCGGCGGTTTTTGAACCACACCTGGAAGGTAAACACTGCGTCACTACGGCGGACACCCGGAGGCTGCCAGCCACACTATTCAGCTCCAGTCTGCTCACTAACTTGGCGCCAAATCACATTTATAATTATTATAAAATCCTGATTCATGTCAACATCCGACTCTAATTATAATACAGTTTAAGGATTCATGCAGATTATAGTTTATGATGCAGGAACTTTGATCAGGAAAATAATTTAATGCATTTAGATTTTAGAAACGTTTATTCGTTTTTTTAAAATATAAATAATATCAGTTTAGTTTGTATTATTGTGAAGAGTGCACAAAATATAAAAATTCACTGTAACGAAATTATTTACACTAATAATAATAATAATAATAATAATAATAATAATAATAATAATAATAATAATAATAATGTTTTCTCATCAGTTTATCTTCCTTTCCTTATCATGGGTTTTCCCCACGGAGCTGCTTTAACTCCCGTGGGTCCGTGAACGTTACATGAACATTTTTTAGATAGTTTTATATTTTATTGAGCTTTTATCAGTTTTTTAAGTGTATATCTTTTTATTAAATAAATATGACATACACGCTGAACTTTTTATAAATCGCTTTGCAATAATTTATTTCTGAACAAAAAACAATGAAACAATTTATCGTTATTCCAAATTAATTTTGGTTAATATTCCTGAGGTTGAATAATAATAACAATAATAAATATAAATCTGTTTAATACATTCTGTATAAATACTGAAGTTATTCTACGTCATTTTAATCCTTTTTTTCTGAAACGCGAAACATAATACATAATTTTTTGTCAATTAAAAAAAGCAAAATGATTTAATTTAAATTAAACTCCTGGTTGCATCGATTACAGAAGCTGATCGCATCAAACTGGATTACAGAAAAAACAGTTAAAAATCTAATCATATAAAATCAAAACGATCGAAACAAAAACAGTTTAAATGAAAACACGCAGTTTGATCCGCTGCTGTTTGCGCCACTTTAACTTTTATTTGAAGCTCCGACGGAGTCACTGCACGTTTACATCCAATATCAGAAATGAAAGAGTTACTAATATGATCTGTGCGCGAATTTATCTGAATAAAAGCTGCAGGTGGGAGCGGGGAGGACCGCACCGCCCCGCACCGCACCGCCCCGCACCGCACCGCCCCGCACCGCTCCGCGTTGCCACTTTGCGGAATCGTTTTTAATTCATAACTGAAACAGTTTAAGTGGGTCCGTCCGATGAAGAGGATTTATAACCTCAATAATCTCCAGAAGCTGCATCAGAAAAAATGAAGGAGAAAACAAAGCGACCAGAAGCGATTAAAATAAATTAAATTTGGTTCATCTGTGATCTGCAGCCACTTAGTGGTGCAATAATTCAAAATGTCACATTTAGCACACTAACAGAAATATCGTTTTATTTTTTATAAGTGCATGACAGAAAACTGCAGCTGGAAGCTGACTGTCCTCCTTCAAATGCAGGAGAGTCTGAACTCTGAGGAAATCCAAACCAAACGGACCGTTTGCTTTTCCACGCACGTTTCTCATAACCGACTAGAGAAACACGCACCTGGCTGCGCGGGGCCACGGCTCAACGAGAAGCCGCAAAAACCGAGAATGTAGCCAATTAAAAACCATGGAAAGGAAATGCTAAGTGTGTTCTGGTGTCATTAAGTCTAAAGTTTGTGATTAAACGGAGACAAAGATCCAAACTGGATCTAATGCAGATCTAATAAACATTTACAAAAAGTCAACAAGCTTCGTTTTTAAGTTTAATCTTTCGTCCTGATGTTTATTTGCGGAAACTCAAAGTGACAGTTTTGGATGTTTAAAATCATTTGAATAATTCCGGGTTTTCATTAAATCGCGTTTGATGAGAAACTTTTGACATGAAGTTCGTTCAGAGCCGCAAATCCTTCAGAAAAAAGCGGAACAATAAAATCCTTCAGTCTCATAAAGGTCAAACTATTTGACCCAGAATATAAATAATAGAGCATAAACTTCACTAATGCTGCGCATAAAAATAGACGGAAATACCTTAAACCCTGACAAAAACAGAGAGCCTCTAGTTGGTTTTCTGATTCAAAATACATAAGATTGATTCATGAAATTCTTGGACGTGTTTCCAACATGGCGCCGGGCCTCTTACCCGCACTCTGGCCTCCGTCAGGTTGGTCCAGACGGCGATCTCCTCCCTGGTGCTCATGTCCGGGTAGCGGTTCCTCTGGAAGGTGGCCTCCAGCTCCTGGAGCTGCTGGCTGGTGAAGTGAGTCCGCTGCCGCCGCTGCTTCTTCTTCTTCGGGTCGTCGGCGCTGCCGTCATCGCTGCGGTGCTCCGCGCTGCGCTCCTTCTCTGCGGGAAACAGAAACCAGCGGTGCGGTGAAGACATGCGGCGCGGTGCGGTTCTGCTCACGCAGCTTTCGACCTGGTCAAACGTTTCACACGCGGATTCAGTTTCCAACTTGCAAAACAGCGAAAGGTTTTAACCGAGCGGAGAGCGGAGAGCCTGAGGTCAGACATTTGCAAGTATTTTCATAAAATCCCGCAGCAGAGAAAGAAAAGCAAATATTCACACACATTTACAACCGATTCTGTTCTCACTGATAGGAATCTTTACATCAGGCCGCTCTTATCTGAGGTGGGATCTGTTGGAGAGGAACGTTCAGCCCAACACAAATATCTAAACCCCAAAGTTACATTTTCCACTTTAAACTCGTCAATAAATCAGACAGTGAACTTCAGCTGGGAGTTTGTTTCTGCTTTTGGGTTCAGATTGATGGTATTTATAGTTTGTTTAATTGTCTGACTGCAGGCCAGGCTCCGCACATTTTCCGTGACCCAGTCCGGGATCCGGCCCGGTGATTGGCTCAGGCAGCGCAGAACAAGAACAGAACAGATTTGGGGTGAAGCTGAACCTCTGAGTTCTGCTGGTGCGTAAATGAACGTCCCGCTGCGCGTTTCTCTGCTTTTTACGCACCAACATGATTTCCGCTCAATAAAAAGTGGATTTTACAGGAAGAGTCTGAATCCGTCCGGCGGTATCTACCTGCCAGCTCTGCGTCTGAGGACTCGCTGCTTGAGTTCTCTAAAGCTTCCCGGCCGGCCTCTGCTGGTCTCTGTAAATGAAACGCGGCGGCCACGTCACGGGGCGGCGCGGCTCTCACGGCCTCCGAGATTCTGTCCAAATTCATGCCACCTTAAAGAGAAGGATGCGGGACAGTGAGAAACTGGGTGAGTCCTGCTCTGCAGCAGCTGCGACACCGAAGATCCAGAATCACACCGCGACATGAGCGGCGCAGCCACGCGGAGGGTTTCCACCAGAGGTTCGGATTCCCCAAAACCCACAAAGTTTCTGTGGAGGTGAAACAACGCGAGGCATCAGGCAGATGGTCCGGTCCGGTCCGGTCTGCAGCGGCGCCGCTCTGCTGTGCGCTCTGACCGACTCGGAGCTCCGACTGTCAGGCAGCAGATCCTCCTCCTGCCGCTCGGAACCTCCCAGACCGACAGTCCAACCCACAGAACCTGCGCCGCGACGCACCCCCACCAGCCAGGGACTATGACGTCACAGCGTCCCGCTGATGTAAAAGTCCAAACTGCTCGGCTCGTTGTTGGAAAACATTCATGAGAATCTTGGCAGCAGATTCGGTTTGGTTTTATTTTTGCTCCAATAGAAACTTTATGGATTAAAAACGGGGCGTGGCCACATGAGCAAAATGATTTATGGATCAGTTTTAATGACACAAATAATAAATAAATGTTGCAACTTGTTGCTTCTCTTTTCATAATTCATAAATAGTTGATTTTGGTATTATTAATATTTCTGTGGTGGGAATCGGGAGCGCGCATTGTGTGCGGTTTTATTCATGTTTGCTGCGTTCCTGTGTGTGTGTGTGTGTGTGCGTGCGTGCGTGTGTGTGTGTGTGTGTGTGTGTGTGTGTGTGTGTGTGTGTGTGGGTGTGTGTGTGGGAGAGAGAGGGGGGGGGAGAAATAT